GTTGATGAATAATAAAGGTGCCTGAGTTCTCAGTAAGTACTCCCTTTTATGAGGCTGATGGGCATGAGGTGCGATGCACAGGGAGATCAAACTACAGAAAATACCTGTTGAGTTTGGTCACATGACATGAAGGGCCCATCCAACTGGTTTTTGTGAATACAGCCAAACCACTGTAAGATATTTTATGTATTTTATAAGCACTTCACATATACATATTTATTCTTGCTCATAATTCAAATATTCAAAATTGAATAGGTTTATTTCAACCCCAAGGTCACTTTTCATAGTTTGTGTACCCTAACTACTGCTAGTAGTTTACAAYAGTTCCTGTAATCTCACCTAAACTGGAAATATAGCACAGCAAGGAATGTCAATTTAGTTTTTCTCTTGTGCTTTTTTGTGAGTTTACAAGCTAAAACATTAAGAACAATATAATTTACTAATTTTGTAACATAAATTCAGTTCAATATAAAGAAATTAGTAACTCAGGCCTGTGCCTGACTGTGCCTTTCCACYTTCTAACACTTTTCTGTACAGTACCTGTAGCAGCTAAGTGTTAAGCTCTCATGTGTTTTGCTTGGTTTTACCGCCTTGTGATGGCACCCAAATGTTCAATATTTGCATTTTTCACAATTCACAGGTGCTCTAAGAATGTAMCACCTGCAAAAATCTGGCCTTCACTTTACATAAATGTTCATTGTTTCATCCTTGCTGTTTCAAACAGCATTGCAGGAGCCACTAAAGGGTATTTCTCTAACCCAAAATGCAATCTTTTAAAGATAATGGTGTAATGAACCCACCTCTAACTTAACCTATGACCCCAAACATGACAGATGCAGTAATAATAGATTACATGCTTCAGTTTGGTTGCAGATTGATGCTCCTGAACTGAAGAAAACTCTCATATATGTCCACATATCTGAACTGATACAACACTTATCGTGCCGCCTGTTTGTGGTCTTGTCGTTTAATGTAGAACAAAGCAGGAGTTCCTCTTTGTCATCAGCTCATAAAAAGAGTCAGTTTTTGCTCTCACATTCATCATTCTCTACTTTTTTTGGTGTGTTTTTACGGTCTGTAGACTGCATGTTCCATGACAATATGACAGCATTGCATACATGCCTGGCATATTGTTTGAGCTGTTTTCTGCATTTCCATGTGGATGAAGACATTTCTAAAAACAAGGGACAAAAAAAMCTGTATGAATAAGGCCTAAAAATGCAACATTTTCATGTTTATAAGCATGCTGTGTTTCACTGCTACAGTAATGACTAAAATGTCCTCTGTTTCAGTGAACAGTGGCTACAGTCAATGACACCCATCCATATTTTACCCAGACTTCTTCCTGTTCCGGGTTAGATAAGGCTCTAACATTCAGGGGAAATGGTTCACATTTACAAAGACAAAATTAACTTTTTTATTATAAACATTAGGAATGACAAACAGAATAATTACACCCATAATTAACACATTTGCTTTATAATGTTTAAAATACAACATAACAGTAGTTTTGAATTTTTCACGCTAAAATGTAAAAAGACCAAAGTGTGTGATGCCTTTGTCTGCAATCAGTTAAGAAAATACTAAGGCATTTTTGGACAAAGAAGTGAAAGCTGGTGTGCTTTTATAAAAGCCTTGTTAAAAATGGTTCAATGGTTGCAATCCTTGTGTGAAATGCCTTAATGGCTTTGCTTAAACTGTAGACATCTGAAATRCCTGAGATCCCTTTAGGAAAATGGAGCCACACTTTTGTTTCAATGTATWTTGAAAAGGTAAATGCACTGCAGTCACACAGCATTTTTTAAAGTCTTGTTAACTCAAAGAACTTTACTGTAAAAGCCATTTTCATATAATGGGGGCTAATTAGATGCAATGTTGGAGTCTTCAATCTGTGTGGACTGAAGTGGGACTATGGCTCCAGAATGTTTTTATCATTGGCTGCCAAAAGGCAAAAATCTGACAATGATGTTTTTGTCTTTGTCTGCATTTATCTGTTTGTCTGCAGTAAYTGAAAAACATAGCATGAACTATCGAACATATTTTAATAAAACTTCCAGAAAATAATCATTGGGGAATATATTCAACTGATTAACTTTTAGAATCAACATAATTCAAATTAGATGCCACAACTTATAGAAATTAGCCAACACAAAAGTGGCTAATTCAGTCAATTATACAAATATTGCTATGAAATTGTGTGTCTTAGTAGCTAATAGTCATCAGCATATAATCCAAGAGCTAACTGATGGCACATGATTATTGTTTAAAATGTTTTATTTATTGAAGTAAACCCTATCTATCTGTAAGCATCTGTTAGCAACTCGTCTTTTAAACCACTGGACATAATTGAACCTTCAGAAAGTAATTTCTGAATATACCTCTACAACTCAGTTGTGACTTCAAAAGATAATCACTTGTAACAACTGATTATATTTTGAAGGGAACCCATAGGAAGACATCTGCTTCAGCCAACTGAACTTAGAAAATACATAAGTCAACCAATTTTACATGTGTTGTGCTAAAATATGGAATGACGATATCTGAAAGTCATCCACAGAACATAGTACTTGGAGCGATACACATTGCATTAGATCTCTGTTTAACTCTATGACATTAACTGTTCTCAAAATATCTTGTGAACCATTGGATATTAGATGAAACTTAGAGATTTACCATGGATATGAATAAACAATATTTAAATATTAAAGTCAATCCAATTTAAGAGAGCTGCCATGCTAATAAACATTAGCAAACAAAAAATGGCTCTGACTCTGAATTTAATGGATATTGGTTGAATGGTACTAAAACCTCTCTGATTGCTGGATGACTATTTTTACTTGATCTACAGCCATTGTAAATATGTTATTTTTTTATCAAAGAGGTTTGGATTCAGGAAAAGGATGACCTTTGCTTAGAGGTTAGCCAATGTCTGTAAAGAACCTTGTGTGACTTTAACAGTTTTACTTAGTCTGTTCTTTGTTGAGGGGCCTTCTTGATCCATCRTTTCTGTATGTTGAGACAATATTCTCACAAGATTCTCTTTGTTTTCATTTTGTAGGAACGGGGAAAAGTCGGCGTGATCTTCAACGTTGGAACAGACGACATCATCATTGAGGAGAGTGCGGTGATGGTGAGCGACGGCAAATACCACGTGGTGCGATTCACGCGCAGTGGTGGCAATGCCACTCTGCAGGTGGACAACCAGCCGGTCATTGAACGGTTCCCCTCAGGTAGGAACAGATTYCTCCTCATCCAAGGACCGAGTAATTGAAACAGAACCATGATGTACTGTATTTCTCAAGTTGGAWAACACGAAAAAGAGAGAAAAAAATGAGATGTGTATTAATTCACCTTCCAATTTGCTTCTAAAGACTGTGGTTTATTTACTACGACCTTAAGACTACCTGCATTATTCTGTGGGGTTTAGTCTGGTTCTGATGTGAAAAGCATGAAGAACCACATATCTTTCCCGAGGCAAGTAATCTCCCCTCTAAGAGCATCAGCTCTCTGCAGTTAGTCCACCACTGTAGCCTCTGGCACTGCGTAGCCAGGACTCATTGGAGGTCAGCTGAATACCAACACACCAGTGAGGAGCAGAGGACTGGTGTTTAGAATCCATTCTTGGGCTTGATGATATCTGGATGAGTCACTGCTGGGAGGGTACTAATTTCTCCCCCAACTCATCGTTTTACAGTAATCACCCTTTTCTTTTTCCGCCTGAAGTTGGAGGCTATTTTCAGTTGTGCTGAAGCTCTCATTTAATTTCTCTCTCTGACGTGTTTCCATCTTTGTACATGGTTGTTCAAAGGAAAGCACTTCTTTGTTCCCAACATGAGTTTGCATGTGGTAAACACCAGCCTGTAATCTGGACCCTGYCTGCATTAATGATGAGGTAGGAACCGAACGAGTTGAATACAAAACGAGCGCTGTCAATATCGCTTTCCATCTCCATTGTCTTGAAAAAGCTTTCTGCRTAATATCATTGTTTAAATACAGCGGGGAGAACACCACTAATGTGGGCATGATATTTGCTCTTGTTGACATACAGTATAGAGCAAAGAGACGGTGACATTCTCTTTCACAGCAGTGATCCCATGTTTTGTTGCTGGTTTTTGGCAATGAGGGAAGCGCACTCTCTGGCTCATCCATCAGCACAGCGAGGCCAGACTGAGGGGCATGCATCACAGCCAGAGGAGGAAGCGCCCTGTGACAGTTCACTCTTTTCACTTGTTATTATGATGGAAATGGAGCCCTTTTCGCCACAGCGCAAGCCGATTAGAAAATAACAGCTGAGCAGCCCGTTAACACCGGCATGCTAATGTCATCATCCAAAATCTATGCTTTGTTTCATCAGGAGAAATTAATGCACAGCTCATAATGAATTCTTTTTATTCCTCTTCCCTTCCGCCKCCCCCCTGCCGCTGTTACCCTCATCAAACAATCCTTACTATTTTTCTCTGCGGATGGCGAAGAGAACAGTGTTGTTCTGTTGCTGTTTGTTAGTTTATCTGATGGGTCTCGTGTTTGTCTGTCAGCGGGGTTTGAAAGTTTTAGGACGTTACCAGGACTAAAGGGAAGGAAACTGACGTGCTTTGATTCATTTATGTGAACTATTCTTGGTGCACTGGCTTTGAAGGTTCCAGTCGTTGGTGTCTGACCGGGTGGTGTGCTGGGAAAGACAGATATGTTGCACATTCGGAAAGCAAAACTTCAGCCAAGGCACAACATTGTGGAGATGTTTGGGTTTAGGAACGAGATAGAGCGAGTGAGAGAGGAAGGATGTAAGTGTGGGCTTTGCAACTTCCTTCACTTCAGTTGCGCAGGATAACGAAGYGAGGTTGTATTTTGTAGGCAAAATAATTGCAAACTGAGATCTGCTGTTTCTGTGACCAAGATTGGAGATTTAGACACCTTGTTCTCTAAATAAGAAAGAAATGCTCCCTGCTCACACTTTTTAAAAAGGCTTAGACCTGTTTTGTTTTCCAGATACAGTATTATTGCTTTGTTGTATCAGCTCAGTTCCTGGGTCCTGGAAACTGATTAGTTGGTGGTCCAAAATTCCTTGACGTAATGCATATTATTTAGACAAAGATGATTTTATGTTTAGAAAGGACAGAGTTTGTAGCTGTTGTTGAGACTTGGAAAAGATTGATATACGTCTCTTAGCTACTACCACACAAGCTCAATTTCTGTAAAACTGACTGAGTTTTGGACATTTTTGTGTTAATATGGTCAGCTGTGGTGGCCATTTTGGGTCATATAGACTCCAACAATTAATCATCTGTTATATACATCATCTGTTTTAAAAAGTTTAATAGCAGCATGTCTATTGGTTTATGAGCTATTTTGCTAGCAGACAGATTTAACTCCAAATGGTAAAGGCTAAACTTAAAGAYCTTGTGCGATCTTTTTGATCTCAGAAGTTTTAGTGATCGGTCTCACCTGCTACCAGAAGTGTTATTAAACAACAAACTAACAGAGACATCAGCAAAAATATTATTGCCTTCCTTTATTTTAAATCTGCAGGCAAAAATATGTCCAATCTGGCATTCAGTTAAGTGTAACAGGTACCAAATTTGTCTAATCCCTCAAACAAAACCAGGAAATGCAGATTCCAGTGTAATCTCCTTCCCCAAAGGGATTGTTGTAACCTACATGCGGCTGTTGCGTTGGGATGTTTGTAGGCCTCTTCAGCACTCTACACATACGGTGATTTCTCATTTATAAAACCACAGTTCAAGCAACGTAAAAGTTCCCAGAAGATGTTTGTAGAATGGTGAGGAAAAAGAGAAAAAAAGTCAACTCTATAAAAAAAATATGACAAAATGTCCTTTTTTTTTGCAAATGTGTGTTTATTCAGACTCCAACCAAGGCCTGAACACTTAATGCCTTGTTAGAGGCAGAAGCATTTGCACAGTTTTTATTCAAAAGGCCTCAATAAAAGTCCCAACTCGCCAGCGGCAGTCGGTCGCGATCGGATGATCTGGAGAGACAAGATGTTGACAGCAAACACGGTCGTCACGGGTCAGGCYCGTTCAACAGCACAGCAACACATCGTCTGATGTCCCACAAAGTGATGTTTGTTGTCCCGAGGGTGTCTGGGTCTACGGATGTTTTGGTGCGTGTCTGATTCCTATGTGTGACAGTGCGCGCAGCCCGTCTGCGTACGTTGCTTGCGTATCATGTTTTGAGGTTTTTTTTTCTGGGTCTTCTGTTTTTGTATGCACACGCATGCACACACTTGACAGACAAAGAGCAGACGAAACGTGTCAGAAGTGGGTGCTGGGCCGGCTAATTCCATATGCCAGGTGTCCCCGGTGGGTGCTGCAGCAGCAGTTATCGCCCCAACCCCACCTCTCATGTTCCCAAAACAGCAGACTGGCTCGATAAATCCAGGCTTCATCACCCTGAACTCCGCCGACCAGCCGCAGATAAACAGGCCAATGCCTTATAATGCTATAATGGTGCAATTTCCAACCCAATTTTCCCTTATTCTTCAAGAACAGTCCTCCCCGGTGGATCGAAGAGTGCGCGTTATTTTCACATACACAACTTAACTACGACATAACAGCTCGGTCAATGTTCTGACAGTGTTTTTTTTTTTTCTTGTTGTTCAAAGGAGTTCGTCTTTCTCTTATTTTTCAAAACAACATCCTTTTTCTTTTGGGGGACTGAGGTGACATTTATTCCACAAAAGATAGTTTAAAGGTATGACAACTTGCTGTGATCTGGAAACCAAACAAAAAAGTAGAACTTTGAGTTACATCCTGGGCTTTTAGCCCCTGTTTCCTACCGTAAACTTGGAAATCTTGAATTTATTCCAGTGACAAAGTGTAAATAAGATGTAGATGTTGTTTAATTGATGAATTCCTGTCATCTACTTCCCCGCTAATTTTCACTTGTGGTCAAACTAACTTCAAGTATGTGCAGCTTTATTACGGTAAGTACCAATAAGTACTTGAGCAGACACACTGTGGAGAAACACATGGAGCTTTTCACACATCGGCTGAGCCATCTTGCTGTTAAAATAAAATCTATCCTTGTGAGGCCATCACCATCGTCTTTTGGTCGTTTCAACAGACCAAACAGAAAACAGCTCAGCAGGTTCCACAGGACAGCACAGAGTTGCTTATTAATTTCCTGTTTGACTAAAATAAAATTTAAAAACAGACTGTTTTCCTGCTTTTTGGAGTCTAAAATAAAAATAGAATAATCATCAGTTTTTCAATATCTGTTTTTAAAATATAAAAGGAATGACCAGAAATTACATGAACCCTTAAAGGAAAATTCAGGCTCTTTTACTGTGGAGTTCCATAGAGAGGCTATAAACATTAACTTGCGTAGTTGCTGATTAAGCATCCGCATATTTGTTTTTCTGTTTCTTTACCTTTAACTTCTTATTTGCAATCTACCAACTTCAACATAGTTTACACTACTTTAGTTAGTTACATATCAAAATGACTTGTTTATTGTAATGTTTATACTTTTCAAAATACTCATTCATCTTTCACGAATAGTTTTCCTTAGAGAAATGTCCAGATTTTTTCAATTCCTTCAAAAACWTTGAAATCTGATTCAGTGTCATCCTACTCGATTTTTGTCTTCTCGTGCTTCTTTTAGCTTTTAGYTAGTGTTTTGCTACTTTTGGGTTTTAGCTAGCACTTTGCTTCTTTTTGTTTTTAAYTGATCCATGACGCCTCATTGTTAAGACCATTTTTGACCCAAGGGCAGCAGGAGGGTCAAGAAATGTTAAAGGCTGGAGTTGTTTTAAACTCCTGAGAGCTTGTGTCACCATAGGGGCTGTTGGCTTGCCTGAATMATAGCATTTTATTCTGTTTAACTAGCATCTGTTTGTTTGTTGAGGGATTTTGATGTTAAGATCTCAGGAGATTAAGAAAGCTTCAAAATACTTTAGTTTGAGCTGTGCTCAGACTAATCTTTWGCTTGTATATCCGGTCAGAATAAATATTATTTCTCCAAACACAGGTTGCTCAAAAACTATCAATAAAAGGTAAGATATTTATTAGGGCTTGCCATATCAAATGAATAAAAGAGCAGAGGATGTCATTGTGAAGCAATGAAAGCCTCATGGGTGTCAGAACAAAGAGAGGCTTTGTGTAATTCAACATGGCACCCAGATTTCTCAGCAATTTTAAGACATACAAAGCTGAAATGACGTTTAAGCTAACCGCTAATGCTAATTTGAAAAACTCCTCTAAATCATTCATTT